TGTCAGCGGCTGCTTTTGGTGTTGCTGCTGTGTGCAGAGATCCCAGACGCTTCCCCTTCTAGTATTACCGAGGGAATATCTACTGCTGAGCCTGTGCTTCAGCCTAGGCTTGTGTCCCCTGGCTTGTTAGACAGGCCTGTAGTCCTCCTCACTGCAGAACACTGTGTGGCTCCGACTCCATAATCACCTTCTGCGGTCTGAGATTTTTCCAGGTTCCTCTGGGAAAGATGGTGTTGACCTGCAGTACCTTTTCTCCAGTGCCCTTTGGGGTCAAGCCATCGCTGACTGCCCTGCTGCTGCAGAACCGAATGGGTTTGGCTGAAATGGGAGACATGGGAGGGTGTTTCAGCAGCAGCTCGAGAAGTGGTGGCAGTTGGAGAAAAGTCCTCCTTAGACAAAAACAAAAATTGTGTGCCAGCGGTGTTTGTGGAGTGCCACTGAACATGCAGAAGGCAGATGATGGTGTGTACGTCTGGCAGTGGTACGAAGAACCTGCGTTGGGGAGCAGGCCATTGGGAAGCTGAGCGAAGTGTTTCTCCATTAGCCTTTCAGCAGCAGGGCATGCTACAAAGCGCGACCATGCTGGTCAGGAGGCCGGTTTGTTTCCCTGTGGTTCCTGCCTGTAACGAGTATCTGATAATCTGTTGTGAACAGTTTAATGTCAGGAGATGGAGAGTTGTGGCTGTAACACAGGAAGCTTTCTGAGCCTGCGATTATCGTGTTTAGCTAGAGACGGCGGACACAACTAACAGGCCTCCTCTGTTATTCTGGGACTTCAGTGACTTTTGTGGCTGTCGTTTGCCTTTCAAGCTAACTTTGTGAACACATCGGCTACACGAATGTCTGTCTGTTATGGAAGACCTGAATGATTCTTAAGACAAGTGCTGACATGGAAGATGTCAGCAAGGTGCACATAGGTATCCAAGGTGAAGTGGTAAGATCCAGTGCTTCTTTCATTGGACACGCAGGGTAGCAAATAACTTAGCAATAGGGTGCTGCTGCCCACTGTTGTAGAGGACCTGTCTGCCATCTGTTACTGCAGTTCATGAAACTCTTAATGTTGCCAGAGGGCATCCAGTTGAAGAAGATTTAATTAATTAAACAGGAAGTAGTGCTAAGGTTGTTGCGAGCTGTCAGTGGCAGGCTGATCGCAGGAGCATCGTTTCTACTTACTGTTGTTGTAATTCCTATGTGCTGCACAATCAATTTTTGAATGATGGAGAAACGTGCTGGGAGCTGGTGCAGGGTAATGCTGGTTTGCTGAATTAGGATGTGCAATGTGGAGTGGCCCTGTTGCTGGTTAGGACAGGACCTGGTCAACCTGGGAAATGGGGGGTACGGTAGGTGCCTGGTAGTTCTTCAATTCATGTTCTTTCACATTAACATGACGAAAATACTATAGTACTGTCACAGCTCAGTTGATCCTTTATTAAAAGCTTTGGAAGCAACTTGTAATTTTTTATTCCTTCCCAAGTATTTGTATGCCAGACTATTTCATACCAAGAATAAATTTTTAATAAAGTGCATAAATAATAAAAAAACCACTTTTTGAGAATCATTGCAGGCATCAGAAAAATGTGTTTTTAACCAAATTGCAAGCTTCAGAGTCCTGTATCTTGTGGAGTACATGTGTTTATCCCTTCAATTCTGCATATATGGCCTGTATGTGGGATAGGTTGGGATAAGAAGGTGAAGGAATATCGTCTTGCCTTATCCCCTGAGCTCTTTAGTTGCTGCGTTGTGAAAATGTTAGATTACAGTTGGGCAAAGTTTATAATTGTTAGCGGCAGAATGACTGTAGAGGTGAACAGCTGTACCAGAAGGACGCCTTGTGTGCTATGCATGCTTACTTGTAAACATCTACATGGGGTAAAAGCTGTTGTAGTTGATTTAATTTCTCCTTTCCAGACCCATCATTCCCTTGTTCAAGTGATTTCAAGCCAGAGTGTTTACCTTGGAAAAGTGAAGTAGGATATTAGGATTTTTTATTCTGCATTCTGTATCCATTTGGCTTTTAAGCCAGTGCTGTTGGGTCACTTTTGTTCTGTCTTGGTGTGGTCTGCTAAACTAGTTCCAGCCCTAGAACACTCAGTGGTGAGGTGCTTTATTTTTTAAGTTTCAGTAGAGTGTGAAATCAAGATAATTGGTCCTGGGACTTGTTACCTCTGCTGGTTTGCTGCTATTTCTGTTATAGCTATAGAGGCAGTTTTTCTTTGGACAGTTCTGAATGGAAGGAGGGAATCTGCTTCCCAAAGCTCACCAGTGATCGTTATAACATAAATTTTTCATCAACTTCTGTCTGAGCAGAGGTGGGAGCAGGGTTTGTAAACAAAAAAAAAGAAAAAAAAAAATAGGCTGAGCTGATTTTTGCCTGCTAAGGAATTTCTCCAAGCATTTTTTTCATTTATTCTATAACAAACTCTTGTGCCCCATCTGTACTGGAGAGAAAATTAGTCAGTTGAATGCTGAATTAAGGTGAGGGTGCTTGTTTAGCAGAGCTGACTCCTGGCCTCCTCCTTGCTTTTCTCCCAAGGACAGAGTTCACTTTCTAGCATGCCTTTATGAATTGATCCTCTCTGATTTCTTGAGTCTTTTTGGACCTGTCTGGGGACTTTGTTTCCAACTTGAAAATTGCATCATCAATGTGCCAGAGCTCGGCTTCAAGTAGTGCAAGCTCCTAATGGAAGAAGAATCAAGTGTTATCCATACCAAGGACAGGTAAATTGGGTTTTGGTGGGCTTGGAGCTGTGCCATCCATTTGTGAAATGTATAGCCTGTGTACCTCTGGCGCTGACAGCCACCTTCATGATTCTCACCGTATTTCCTGCAGCTGTTTTGAGATGCTGCTGAAGAACCACAGCTTTTGAAAGCTTCTTTAGAATAAGGCTCTCTGCAGAGCTGTGCGCAGGTATTAGACAGAAATCTGTGCTCCTATGAGGAGAAAACCATACACTGAAGCGGCATCTGTTCAGCAAGGCAAGCTGTAGAGAAAGCAAAACAGACCACACAAGGTGCAGCACTTAAAAGCAAACAGATAACTGTAAATCTTTGTTTCCTTCTCAGTGTGTATGAGAAGATAGTTGGGAAGCACATAAGTAAAAGGAACAGAAGATTATAGAAAGGAGGACTAGTTCTGGGAGGGCTCTGATGGCCCGGCTCAGCTTTTTGGGCTGCAGTGCTCTCGATGTGAGGGAGTTGACTTAGAGGCCACATTAAAACAAAAGCAAGCTCTAATCATAGAATCATAGAATGGTTTGAGTTGGAAAGGACCTTGTGCATGTCTCCTTGGATCGTAGCTCTTGCAAAGCACATGAGTTAACGCTCCATGGGAGTCTGCATCGCAGTCGTACTTACAGATAAAATTTTTTGGGTCTTGCCTTTGAAAGCCTTTAGCTCAAAGACTGATTTTATTTTCATGAATAATTTGATGGTTTAACATGAGTAGGTTTAAGATCTGGTATAACAGCCTTCTGAGCCTGCCTGTGTGGTGTTAAAACTTTCAACGTGAAATGAGGGTGGCTTTCTTTTTTGTTCATGCTTCGACTTGTTATAGAGCAAATTTTGTTTGACTTCTTGCTGAGACAACATCTGATTTTGAGGTGTTTTTCCAGTGCGTTGATAGAAATGTAACCTTGTAATACTTTACTCTTGGCCTCATCTTCTCTCCAGCATATTCTTTTTTACAGTACTGTTGTCAAAACAGAAATTGCATTGCAAGAATGCAGAAGGAAAAAAGTCAAATCAGTTAGCAGTTGCCAGTGATTTTTGAGTACTACTATGTGTAAGTTGTAATGAGATGTAATGATGTTTTTGTGATTCAGAAATCTTTTTTTTAGAAGTGTTTTGATGACAGTGCATAACTAAAATGCAGAACAGGTGTTTACTCAAAGCGAGTAAACCTAAGCTGAATGAGGGAGAGAAATGAAGTATAACACATTAACACATCATTCATCTACATGGTTGTGAAAGATAAGTGGGGTCCCACCCTTGTAAATTGGGTTTTTGGTAGAGGCTCTTTGATTATTTTGCTAGATTTGTGTGTGTCTTCGTTCTGAAACGATTCTACGTACGTTCTAAAGAGGAAAAATGGAATTACTTTTGTTGGTTTTTGGGATTTTGTGATGATATTTTTTTTTTTTAAAGTCTCAGATTGTAGTTTTGGCTTTTTGTTTAATGTTTGGGATCTTAAAGCATTGTAATACTGCATCTTTGTTCCTAATGATAGCTCTGAAATGTCTAGTTTTCTAGTTTGGTCATTGTTAAACTTACTCTGCCCAATATGTTATAATTGGCATGTTATTTGCCTGATTTGTTTTCTTCTGACATTGTTGCGGAGCAGGAGAAGGTCTTGTTGTGTTTGTGCAAAAGAAAACAAAATCTGGCTCTTATCTGTTGATGTATCTTGGCATTTACTTACTAACAAGTGTAAAATTGTTATTTATTATTCTAATTCTAAAAAAGAGATGAATTTGGGACTGAGTTAAAGAATTATTTTTGCTTGCTCAGTTTATTTCTCTTTGTCATTACAGTATAGGCAATTAAAATAGAATTTATTTTTTTTTTAATGAAGTTTACTGGTTTCTGGTTTGTGCTTGTGTACCACTTACAGTACTGTGTCTGGTACCAAGAGGCAGCTCTGCGTTGCTGTTCAAATGTTGCTGTAGTGGAAATTATCATACTTTTCAGCGTTGGTATATAGAGAGTTTGGTATATGCTCTTGTAAATTTTTGATACTCTTGTTTCTACAGCTGACTGTGCAGGTGATGGTACTTAGGTGAAGGACCAATTGAGTTTAATTCTATTTAGATGCAGCTGTTAACCTGACATTGTGTGATGGGAGCTGTAGGTGAAGTAAACCAATTTCTGTTTCATTTCAGTAGAGGATTAGTTATTTTATTCTGTTTCTTAAATGGGAAGAGCAAGAGCTCAGGTTGCACAAGTGTATAGACAGGGAATTTCAAAGCTGCTTAAACATTGGATTTGTTTTCTTGCAGCAGATCCCTGGAAAAGCATGGAAGAGGAAATTGAATCAGCTCTGCAGGAGCGGATAATGGTTTTGGATGGAGGCATGGGTACCATGATCCAGCAACGTGCCCTGTCAGAGGAGGATTTCCGAGGGCATGAATTTAAAGATCATTTCAGGCCTTTGAAAGGCAATAATGACCTTCTCAGTATAACTCAGCCTGATATAATCCGTGACATACACAAGGTAGGTGGTTCTGATCTCTGTGTCTTGATGAGAGAAGGAGGGAGAATTTGGCCCCTTTTCCATGCTGCAGGCTACTGGCTCTCCTGCTTCTTTTGGGGGTAGGGAAGAGAGTGCTAGGTAACCATGTGAAAAAGAATGAGCAGATTTGACTGTTCTGGTTGTGTGAGCACAGCATTCGTGTCTGGGTTCCTGATGTCACCCAGGCAGTGTCTTTAAATCCCTTTTTGACTTATGTCCCTGATGCATTTTTATTAATTTTAGATTCTGATTTATTTCAATTTTCTTTCCTTTTCTCCTCCTCAACCAGCACTTGAAATGCATCTAAGTAGGACACATTTGAATTCTAGATGCATGTTTCTATAATTGTGTATTAAAGAGCTGTTAGACGTGGCAGCCTGAAGCAGGCCTCTCCATAGTTAATGAGTGTGTGGGCTTCCTAATGAGTATATGTGTTTCCATATTCTTGTTTTTTCTCTTCTGAGAATTGAACAGAACTTGAAATAATAAATGAAAATATTTCTACAATGTGAGTATAACCCCACTGTATGTATGGTTGTTGGTGGTTTTTTTCAGTGCCTCAGTGAGTGACATCTCACAGATACCAGTATCTTGAAAAAATAAATGTTAGCTGTACCTTGTCTGACAAAGTAAGATTGAGTGGTAAGAGAGGGGATGTATTTTCAAAGGCAAAAATGATCTTCCTGCTTTGAGCATATTATTTCTCTCTATGGTGGTAGACAGTAAAGTTGAAGGGCTTTCGCTAGAATGACATATCTGAACTAAACGAAAACTAGTACAAAGCTGTACATGTTTAACATCTTTCTTTAGTCTAGATGATTTTCAGAAACTTCATTACTTGGTTATTAGTATACACATAAGAACTTGTGTATTTTAATACAGCTATTTGTAGGTACTTCCATATTTATCCAGAAGGAGTTGTGAGAAAGTATATTTCTTTTTCCATATGCAGGAAAACATGTTTTAAAGTAAATTTAATTCTTTTCTGCTGTCATTTGGATCAAGACTTTGTATGCCCTGTTGAACCTGCGGAACTCATCTGCTTCTTACAGGAGAATCTGAGTGGTTTATGTTTACTGGCCACATCAGTATTTTTGACTTACTAGCACTGGAAATGTCTCAATTTCCTTGCATACACAGAGGTCACCTAAGAGTTAACCTGATCAAAAAGAGGAATTAGGGAGGAAGAAGGGCAACTGATAGAGATTATCAAAACACAGACTAGAAACTGCAAAAATATTTCAGTTTGCTTCAGTGGGAATCAGACAACCAAGCTGGAGCAGAAGGCTTAATTGTTTTGTGAGTCTGGGCCATTGGTTTAAATGTGATCTGCACAAAACATAACTGTCCTAAGCTTGTAGTCTGTCCCAGTATGCTCTTGTGCTGTGCAGCTCACTTCAGAACGTTTAGATTTTCTAATCCTCTGTTGTTGTTTAACTGGTGCCTTTTCTGAGTCTGCCCACAGCAGCCCTTTCCTACTGGGGACAATTGGACTATGTCTCACCATGTACCTGTGCAAAAGTCTAGAATGTGCTCCAGGTGCTGGACTCAGTGGTGGAGGTGACCATAAACGTCATGTGTTAACAGAAAGTGTGGCTGACGCTAAAAAACATGGAACGCTCCATTGCTTCGGCCCTGTGCCTTTGAGTAAGGCCTTCCAAGTTTGATGTGATTTCAATTAGGAGACAATTTGTTTTTGTCAACTGAATGAGGCAGAATAGTTGGGTTGCTTTCATTCCAGATCTCGGTTCTGGAAGTCTTGAAGATTTTTTTTTCTTTCATATCTTTCAGGAATACTTGCTGTCAGGTGCTGACATAATTGAAACTAACACTTTTAGCAGTACCCGAGTTGCACAAGCTGACTATGGCCTTGAGCATTTGGTAAGAATGCTAAACTATCTGCACGCTGAAATGCTAATCAAGATTTTTGTTTTAGCAGCCGAGATTAGCTTGGTCCTAGAGTCCAGTGGTATTGTGCTTATTGACTGTGTGCTGTCTCTAGAGCTGTGTTACCGTGTTGGAGCTCATTTCCACTGTCATAGACAGTTGTACTTGCTGTGTGTGACAGTCATAGTGTGCCTCTTGATGATGAAGGCACGGGCAATAATAATTTGTCCTAGATTTTCTTTGAGCATTCCCAGAATGTCTCAGTTCTGTGAGCAGGGATGTCTTGCTTCAGTCCTTCCAACTTACCAAATGCCACAATGGATCTGCTTTTTTCCTGGATATTATTTGAATGTTATTGGTGCTCGTGTATGTAGAAGTCCTTTCAAGCTTGCGTTTGTCATACCTCTTCTGTGTTATGTGTTGTTCTGAGAATTTGGGAAATTGTGTGAAGGAAAATACTTGAAAGTATGCTACTTGAATAAAAACTGAGTTTAAAAGTAGGTTAGTTTTGTCCTTGAA